CCGCCTAGTGACTCAGGACGATACCAACCCCTGCAGTTCCCGCCTCGGCACCCTGGATCACCAGAGGTGCGCAGCCGGAAGTGAGTGGAGACTGATGAAGCGATTAGCTCAATCACTGTGCTTGCATGTTCAATTCTTGTTTCTGAGACACAGCACACATCAATCCAAGCCACTCCAGTGTGAGAGCAAGAGCAGCTTGTTGTCGTACTTGCTTCAGAGTGCACTTATTGAAGGCGGCCAGATAGACTGGGTGCCGAGGCTTGAAGATTGATTTGGATACCTGACTATGTCAGCGCCATGTAACGAGCGGATGCTGCACTCAAAACCTATGTAAGACGAACGGAGTCATCAGTGCTGGGCCTACAAGAAGAGAGCAATTAATGGATGGGGAGGGGAGAATGTATATGAAAGAGAAAGAAGGGAGGTGTCAGCAGTAGTCTGTTTTCGCTTACCTGCCGTGCTGTATGCAGCGAGTAATGCGACCCGGATGATAACACCATGTGTTTATTGTTAGACGTAGGTATCATGGTTGTACTTGGGCTGGGATGCTGTTAGAGCCCCCACACCTAGACGGAAAGACGATTGGTGTCCTCAACCAAAGCCCTTAGCTCAAAAGCATTACCGCAAGCCAGCGGTTTTTGGTGGGAAATACAAATGCATTACCGTTTCTACGGAACAGGTCGCCATACGTTCCACCCCCCCCCCCACAAAGTCTCCTATATGAGTCACAGATACGCTAAACCTGCTCACTTGTGCATTCAAATCTCCGGTAAAAACCACAATTGCTGAGCTTTATGCTCGCCGCAACAGGACATTCAGGGCGTCATAAAACCAGTCCTTGACGGCGTCGGAGCTACAGTCAGTTGGGGCGTAGGCAGACACGCTGAACAGAATCTATCAACTTCCCGCTTGTGAGACTCCTTCACAGACGTTGCCAGACGAACCGCACAGAGGCGATTATCAATAGTTATCCAGTCAAGAAAGTATACTTCCGCCCGGTGACTTAGGATGATACCAAGCCCTGCACATCCCGCTGCATCAGCCTCTAGATCACCAGAGAAGCGTGGCCGGAAGCGAGTGGATAGTGATGAGGTGGTTAGCTCAATCGCTGTGCTTGCATCTTGAATTCTTGTATCTGAGGCACAGGACACATCAATGCCAAGCGAGTCCAGTATGAGAGCAAGATCAGTTTGTCGTCCTGCCTGTTTCAGGGTGCGGACATTGAAGGCGGCCAGATAGACTGGGTGCCGAGGCTTGAAGATTGATTTGGATACCTGACTATGTCAGCGCCATGTAACGAGCGGATGCTGCACTCAAAACCTATGTAAGACGAACGGAGTCATCAGTGCTGGGCCTACAAGAAGAGAGCAATTAATGGATGGGGAGGGGAGAATGTATATGAAAGAGAAAGAAGGGAGGTGTCAGCAGTAGTCTGTTTTCGCTTACCTGCCGTGCTGTATGCAGCGAGTAATGCGACCCGGATGATAACACCATGTGTTTATTGTTAGACGTAGGTATCATGGTTGTACTTGGGCTGGGATGCTGTTAGAGCCCCCACACCTAGACGGAAAGACGATTGGTGTCCTCAACCAAAGCCCTTAGCTCAAAAGCATTACCGCAAGCCAGCGGTTTTTGGTGGGAAATACAAATGCATTACCGTTTCTACGGAACAGGTCGCCATACGTTCCACCCCCCCCCCACAAAGTGCAGGACCAGAAGACCGTGTTAGTCAGAACTCTAACCGTTGACCAATCTAGTATGAGAGACTGTGAGTGTCGCTGGGACACCCCCCAGTATAGCTCAATGGGTCGCTGAGGTACGCAAACCGTCGCACCACGGTGATGTCCACTCTCTTCGTGACGGACCCTACATCCTCTCACTGCCTTGTAGGTCAAATTTTTGAGTCAAAGGCTCAAGAAGGAGGCATGTCAACCAAACACCATTCTTAGGCCTGGGCAACAGAGAAGTATTATTTGCCCGCGCAGTTCGGTGTCCACCGATGTCCCTCCCCAACCCCTTCCCATCACACAGGCAAACGGGTCGTTTGACTGTCAGTCATCCGCTCGAAGGGTATTATGCTCCTCACTGCCTACTAACAATAAACAAAATAACAACACTTCTAAATCCACACAATCTTCTCTATATAGGAGCTCTTAACGTCCGTACTCAGCCAGCAAGAACCATGTCATTCCACTACGTTCGAAGAACTACCATAGCTCAACAGTATCTATCTGAGCTAGCTCAACGATTCTCCACAGCAAACCGGTACTGTGGTGGCAGTAAGCATGTGGATGAAGCGTGGCATAATGTGAAAGGCGCTATGTTAGCGGCGTTCATTGCTGGCTACCAAACTTCTCCAATTCGACCCTCAGACCACAGGATGTTGTCGAGATCGCTATCCGTTATTCATGCCAGGATAGCGGTACCAGCAGACAAAGAGTACGATCGCGCACACAAATACCTCGAACGCCAAGTAGTGAGCAGTCTAAGTAAAGACCGATGATTCTGATGGACTTCGTAAGCTCGGGAGATGGAGAAGGCTTTGGCTACGGGAAACAGCTATGTCTTATATCAAATGGCACGATCGACCGGCCCTAGGAAAGCAACGGTCAGCGAAACTATAGGTGAAGATGGTTCATTAATTTACTCGAAAAAAAAGCCGACTGGAAAGATGGGTCGAACACTGCGAAGAACAGTTCAGATGGCCTCCTGCAACACAGCCTGTGGAGACAATGCATACGGGCGAATGGAATGTAAACCTTGATCGCCCTTCGGAAGAACAAATAAAGTACGATATATCCGTACTGAAACGTGAGGAGGCACCAAGACCGGCCCTCTTCTAGGAAGGCGGAGAACCCTTGGTGACCCATGTGGCAAAGCTTATTGGTGCTATATGGAACGAAGAGAAGGTGCCTACAGAATGGGGCATGTCAACAGTTATTTCCACCTTAAAAAATATAGGCGGACGCTGTGAAAACCATCGTGGCATCAACCTGTACCTGTAGCACGGAAGGTGCTCTGTGGTCTTGTTCTTCGAAGGTTGACCGAACACAGGGAACCAAGCTGGGTTCCGTCCAGCAAGAGGATGCATCGATCAGCGGGATGGCCCAAGTGATTAGAGCGTAAATATACTGACCGGAACGTCCGTGTTTCGAACCCGACCTCTGCCTCACGAGAAAGAAAGGGTGCTACAGCTGAACGATTTTCTATCTTTATACTCCGACATATTCTGGAACAGTGACACTGCTTCCAGCGACCAACAATGGTTGTGTTTCTTAATCTGAAATCTGCCTTTGATTCGGTGGACCGTCGGGCAATATGGCAGTGTCTGTGGAGAAAAGGTGCCCCCCATAAATTCGTGACCCTGCTTAAGGCGCTGTGCGCCAACTCCCGCGGCCGCGTGAAGGTCTACGGCAAGCTCTGCTCTGAGTTCACTACCTCGGACAGAGCTGTCCTCTTTCATCTTTCCTCTTCGGCTTCGTCACTGATACGATCATGGAGGACTCACTATCAGCCTCTAATGCTTGTTTGGTCAAAGTGCTCCCGGGGGGTCCGCTCACACATATTGAGTATGCAGACGACATAGCTCTTCTTGGAAATGACCTCGTGGAAATGTAAACAGTATTAAATAATCTGAATAATTCCGCCTCACGGTTTGGTTTGCGATTCACACCTGCAAAGTGTAAAGTGCTACTGAAAGACTTGGTAGACTCAGTAATAAAAAAACAATCGTTTAGCTGTAACACCCTCTCGGTGCCTAGCTGCCATGCCACCCGGAGGAAGCATGAGGGCTGGGATACTGCCAGGTCGCCCAGGCCTAGACCGGGGAAGTCGAGCGGCAGAGGTCGGGTTCGGACCACGGACCTTCCGGTCATTGAATTTGCGCTCTAATCACTTGGGCCATCTTACCGTCCGAATGCAATTTGTCTTATCGACATCTAGCTTGGGGGCCTGGTGGTTCTCCCCTCGATCATTCCAAGGCCCTATGGACTCAATTAGCGTTTTAAGGCAATAGAAAGGTGGATCTGTCCCCGCAATTTACGGAGAGGAGACACTCCAATCCTACTAATCGTGGGCTGGTCACTCTTCCCGTTCTATCTTCAAAGTAATAAGGTCAACTGTTTTACACTCCCCGAAAGTATGTAGAGATGGAAAATCAGCCAAACGACATGGATTAATGTGGAAGTGTTCATTCAAACTTTCTAGCCATGGTCAGCTGGCTGAATGGTTTTGCTGCCGTTGAGCTGGGCTTCATTATTTTGACTTATCCAAGCTGTTTGGTGGAATGAAGCACTTTATTTTAAGAAAACTAATTGCACATCATACACAAATACTTCCAGGTGATCCATCGTTATCTAGACCGAAAAAATCGGGTCTTTGGGAATATTGTTGAACCTTTGCTAAGTTCGTTCTTTGCTCCTTCACTTATGTGACTACTTAATAATGACTTATCGCGAACCAGAATTTACGTTCCCATTTAGTCGCTTGTGATATGAATCTGTGAAGACCAATGCCTTCATCGTATCGCCACAACGGTCTGGGAAGTTGTAACTAGAGTAATGTCTCAACTCATTTCCTGGTCTGAACCTTCCAGGTTCGCGTTTTCGGCAAAAGAATCACCAAATATGCATATCTTGAATTAAACGCTGAAAACTTGACCAGAAACGCATATACCGCGCGTCATATTTAAGCCATATGAGGCGCCAATATTCTGGAAATTTTGACGCTTTTTGGACGAAACCTTGGCAACTGGCATTCGGTGAATATTGAATCATGATTGGCTGTTGGGCTCATACTTTCGGCCAAACAGAGCTTGCTTTGCTGCGAGGCTGGAAAGCAACCCGATCTTCTGGCCACCCACATACGGGTTAGGCTCCTTGGACGTAGCAGAGCAGAGTAGGATAGCTGTTCATCGTTTTCACGAAATAAATGGGTAGTTTGGTCCTGTAGGTTCTTAGTGTATGTAGTTTAATGCGTTGAATTTCCGATGTTTTAGCCACATGAGCGCGAACAAAGGACGGCGTAACTATCGATCAAAGGCGGACAACTCCGATGAGGAATTCTTGTACGAACCGGAAAGCCTTTATGAGCAGGGCTCCAAAGAAGTTATTTGTGGCCCGGCCGTTGCAGTGTCCTCGAGTTGTGGCACAATGAAGAAAACCAGGAGTGTTCTGAGCTTCGAAGACGATTTGGATCCAGGTATGTAGTCATTTTTTCATCTGTCACACTTAGATTTTTAGACGATGGTGCTATGTTCAAGGTTAAAAAGACTAACTTAAGTCGCCGGGTCGGTAAGCAAGATAAAGAGCAGCATAAGAAAAAGAAGCCTATCGACGACGACATGCCTAAACTCGTTAGTAAAAAGGAGCCGATCAAAACACCTGTTTCACAGGAGGATCCTGTGGAGTCAGAGAGAAAACTGGAGGTTCGTCTCTTACGCCCTGTTTCTTATTCTTGTGTGTTAGTGTTTGCGTCGGCAGCTGCTTGACCTTGCTGAGGACGACGGTCCATCCACCACCTTACCTAAACCTGAAACACCTGGAATTTCATCCCTAGTAAAAAGCAAGTTCGTCTACTTCATATCTCAAATGTTTCATACCAGAAGGCTCAATTCCAGACGCAGCCACTATCCATCAAGCCAGAAAGCAGCGTGAGAAGGCAAAAATTTTGATGGAGCATTCGGATCAAAACGAACCGGCTATCTTATCATCGGGTAAGAGTGGTGGGAAGCGTCTTGTGAGGTGAGATAACCGAATTTTGCGTTAGCTTTTTTCTCGGTATCACGTGGTATGATGTTTTTTGTTTTTTGTGCTGATGACGAAAAGCCTCCATAATTGGAACTCACCTACAAAGAAACAACATCCTAGCTCCTGTTCGCATCGTCAATACATGTTTCTGGTAAGGAGGTCTAACAAAATCGATACTGGGTACGAGAGGAAATTATGGGGGGCGTTTTCAATGCGTAATGTGGTATGACGTATCAACTGTAGGCTTAAGGTGAATTTTGAGATTCCACGAAGTGAAAGTAAGTTAGGATGAGTTAGGACGACCAGCTGGCCAAAAAACCGTGTTTTCAGTCCACACAAATTCCTCGGTTGCTAGCTGTTAGGCCTTAGCGTTTGGCGATACCGTAACTCCTAGACTTCCCACAAGTCGCATGACAAGTGTGAGTCGAGAAATCTCACTCATGAACGATTTATTTTGACTTTGTATCCTTACCGTGATTCTCTTTTGTCCTAACCGGCACTCAACGCGGAGAACGGAATGAAACATGTCAAATATTGCTTATAAATATGCACCTCAGTTAACAACAACTAAGCTCCCAAAGGTGTTGTTGATTGCTAGGCTGTCTGCTTACGAAGATTGTTTATTGTAGCAATCGGTTTCCACTTTTCGCTCTCAGAGAAGAAGATGATGATGACGAAGATGATTTCGATGATGCAGGTCCATCGTCCGCCTATGCAACAGCCGGCAGTGAACGCAGACCTGCATTTGTTGTTAGTGATGAGCGCGATACCGTGATCAAACGTCCCCTGATTAGTAGCCGCTTGAATCGTCGTGAGGCGGAATTGGACTCGATACGGCGCAATTTTCTGGCCGCTGAACATGCCAGTGATCGTGACAGCGATGAAGATACGGAATGGGAAAAACAACAAATCCAAAAGGCGTTAATTACGCAAGTATGGTTTTTGTAGCGCTTAGATTTGTGTACTTGGCCACATTTCTAAGCCCTTCTTTACAAAACTCACCGCACTTTTCAACACTGGCATTTTTGAGTTTTCATTGCAACTTAATGAATTCAGTTATTGTTTTTCGCCTTTCTGCATACAGAACCCGGCTGCTTTGGAGGCTGTTGAACCCTTAGAACGTAGAGAAGATTCCAGAGACGGTTCAAAGTCTGGTCCTCTATTCGCCGGGCTTGATGCTAACAGTCTCACAGTAGCCAATCTCAAGAGCATTTTTCAAGAGAGGTAACTATAGGAGTACCGTCTTTGAATGCTTATGCCCTTGTTGTCTACTGAGTTGCTTACCGTTATGCGCCAATGCATGTCGTCTGAAGAGTTGAAGCTAGGCTAGCATTCATTTGCTTTGTCATTCTTCGCTCAGTTTTCGCTACTGTGGATCCAAATGATTTGCTTTCACTGATGAGTGATGTTTTGTCGAGTCAGTGATATGTGAAATGGTATTCTGAGATGTTTGCAATAGAAATGCAGTGGAACACCGAGTTCACAGCAATTCCCGTAAGTAGCAAAGTGGTAAACACGCTGGATCCGAAGCTCAGTCACTGAAGCGAAATGGTTCACTATTACGGTGGTGATTTTCTTCTTTTTCTTGTCCCTTATAAACAATAACTGAGATGTTATGACACTTCCTTACGTTTGTCGCTCTACTCCCTTAAGTCTTCATAGTCCTGTGTCTAAAGTCACTTTCATTTCACCGCGTATTTTCTGGTGGTAGTATCCTGTTGACTGGGAGGATATGCGCTGGTCCTTTATCTTCCTTCTCGAAGAGTATTTTTCGCCTGAAGATCCTTCAGTCCTCACTGCCAGTCCTCAAGCCTGTTCCTGTTCCTTTTCAGTTTGTCCGTATGTTCTCATGACAGGCAAACATGCATCCCCCTGCTAAGTTAAACACAGTGGCCTTCTGTGGTCAAGAATGAAGTGATGATGTCTGTATCCATCTTCCTTGGCACACGCTGTCCACGTTGGCACTATATTTAACACGGTTAAAGTTTCGCCCATTCACCGTAATGCAGATTAAAAGAACGCGCCAACCGGAACTCGGTCATCCTAAAGTATGTCTCCTTTCAATTCTGTCTCGATTCGTATGATAATATCCAATCCCCATGAATAGAAAAGGCGAAAATATTCGCTGAACATTTTCGATCAATCTTTTTTCTATTCTTTCAGAGCTCCTTTTCCGTTTATCATTCTCCACTTACCCGTTTTTCATTGCGTCCACTTGCCACAATAAATGTTCGCATTTCCCCTTCATCCATCTTGGTCCCAAATTCACCAACGACCTTACCCGCCAGTGTTAAATTTGTCATGACACTTCTAGAAAGCTTGATTTCGATTTCGTGCCCTCAGTTACTTAAGCGTCGATCAATCTTTTTCTCTCACTCCACCTCGTTTTCCTGCTTTCAAGTGTTTTATTATCGTTGAGATTTCCATAGTCCTTTTTCTGCTTGATTCTTTTTGGGAGGTACTAATATGCATCGTTCCCATTTTATTTCATCGGTGGTGTGTGGAGCCCTTTTACCACCGGAACGTCGAGTTTCTTGCTATGTTGTTCTCTGATGTTAATCAAAATGGTCTCTTCCCTCCCCTTGCCCCAGTCTTTTAACATTTCCTGTCCACATTCAGCCACGTTTATTAAGTTTCACATAATCGAACTGTTCGCCATTTCCTCCCTCCCGAGAATTGCCTGTCGTTGGAACTCCCTGTTACTTTTCCTGTTCCCCAATTCCCACTACCTCTAGCTTTTCAAAGGCCGATTTATTGTCCACCTTCGCGTTGCCATATGATGTTCATACTCCCACGTTTTACGTGTCTTATCTTCACAGAAGGCGTTTGACCACGAGTTCCCTTTCTCAAATCTACTGCGCGTAATAAAAAGGCTATCTCATCATCTGACGTTTTTTCCTACGGCATCTCCAATATGTAACGCGTTCTGCACTCTTGGACCGGTCATTACCTACTATAAAAATCATTCAAAACATAGAAGAAGTTTCGGGTTGAACCACACCTACTGGAGGTTGAAAATAGTGTGAATTTCGGTTCTCATGATCACTTACTTTCGGGTGATGGTCTCCTCAGCCCGCGGATTAGCTCATGTGAAATTATCTAAGGGTTTGTCTAGATCCCCAAATAATATTTCATTTAAGACTTCCTCTACCCCAGTGTACGGTTTCCTTGTCGGAAGGGTCGTTCAGTTCCATTGGTAATTATACAATTTCACCCCGGACTATCAATTCTATACATACCCGTTGTCCAATCGTTGGTGTTGAGATAAGAAGTGCACTTTTTCTCCTTGGTTTCGTAATTGACCCCAATGGTCACGGGTAACCTAGGTGTATTTACGTTTATCCTTCTACCTTTCCTGCTTGAATCTCAGTCATGTCTGAATGAGTCTGGTGGTGTTTTCATGGTTTAATTTTCATGGAGGATTGTGCCTTGAAACCAGTAACTCGTACTTTTGACTCCCACCCCTTCCCACCGAATGGGTTACTGTACGTGATAAAAATTATTCATTTCAGTACGATCAAGCTTTTTACTGTCAACTTGTCTTTGCTTATTCCCATTACTGTGTTACTCGTTGGTTACTCTTCCAACAAGATATCCGCACTGACTGTTCCTTTTCTTTCTCATGCCATCGGTTGTTTTAGATTCCACACGCTTTCCACTTCACTATCCACTCATCAAGCAGCGCTAGAAGCTGCACGCACCGATTTGGATCGTGGGAAGAAAGTGATGACAGACTGCCGTGACAAGTTACCGCAATTGGCCCGGAAGTTTGCCTTTGTCAAGGAGATGAAGGACTATATTGATGACTTAGTTGAGTGTTTCAATGAAAAGGTGAGCTTTTTCGACTCTTGGTGTACTTTCTATGCTTGACCCCATACCGGTTATTTGGCCATCTCATTGTCGTTCGTTAGACCATGGTCCACTTCATCTCTGGGCTCACATCGGCTTTCAACACAAACATTTAGCGTTATGTAGATCTTGGATGTATACGTTACCGAGAAATACTGGCGCTCACCTTATCGGATATGGGATCAGTTGTGTACTGGCCACCTGTTCCTGGCCATTGTGAGATGGCGAAATGGCTCAGTGGTTAGAGCGCGAATTCACTGACCTGCAGGTTCGTTGTTCGAACATGACCTCTACCTCTCGATTTCTCCTGTCTAGGCTTGAGCGACTTGGCAGTATCCAAGCCCTCGTGCTTCGTTCGGGTTGCATGACAGTTAGGCACTGAAAAGATGCTACAGCTGAACGAATTTTTTCAGTACGAACTTCCAACAAAAACGCTCACATCGAGTAACATGGAGGCTACCAACTACAAGACAGTCGTGGGCTCAATTGGACTATATGGTTATCAGTTACCGATGGAGAGCCTCAATTAAGGATTGTCGTTCCTTCCAGGGTATGCGACTTGACTCTGATCATGCCATTTTGTGAGCCAAATTACCACTTCGCCTTCTGTCGGCACTATGGGTGTCAAAGCACATGTACTCCATTTATCAACTTCGGCAAGTTTCAGTAGCTCAATGCACTGAGCTGACCTGGCTGGAAAGCTATTTGAAACGCACAATCATATGGACGACGAAGATCGCTTGGGGGCCTAATGGAGACTAGTTAAAGAGTGTTCTCAGGTTTCATAACTGTTTGTCCAGGCCATCCGACTCGACTAAATGGAACACTGGATTTCGTCGAGATCAGCAGATCTTATTGTTTTCAGAAAGACCATATCAACCACTTTCGCCTGTGATAGCGCCTCATTGCACAAGATAGAATCTATATTTTCACGTTTCAGTATCATCTGAGTGAAATATGGAGAAAAAACTATAACTGTAGCTTGTAGCTTAAGTTCCTGATTACAAAACCAATCTTGCAACATTTGCATCTAGCTATATGACAACTTGGGCGGCGAAGGTAACACTCGCAGGAACATCATCGTTGCGTTCAGTATTCCTTTATTATACTGTGGTGCCTGTTTCGAAATGGGCGTTTTCTCGTATGCTTTAGGACTCCATCACGGCTGTTTTCGGGGCTAAGTGGTTACATACTACCTGCAACGAATCGGCCGGTTGACAATGGACTACCCTCGCAGTATCACTGTCCAGTAGCCATCCGTGTTTAGTCACATTTGAAACCACATAACTCTAAGATAACCGCACATTTCTAGTTTTTATATTTTATACTCATTTTTCCGGGACATCTCGCTGTATATTCATCAAATGTATGATTTTCTTTATAGATGTCTAAAATTGAATATATGGAGCGTCGTACGATCATCCTTTATCGTGAACGATATAATAAACTGACTGAGCGTCGTCGCTTGGACATGAAGGATTTAGCCGACTTGGCAACACAACGTAAGTTAATGATAATGTAATAATACGAACTGAGGCCCAACAGCGTACGACAGTCTGAATTAGACGTGATGTTTTCAGTCTGGGTGGATTGACGGTTTTGTCATACTCGATTTCACTGCTCTCTTCGTTTATCGGGTTAGTCGGTTTGGGGACCGTTGCAGGGGAGAGTTAGTTCGCATAACCTACAGTTAGTAAACTCTTCATTTGGTCTCATAATCCTCTGTAGGTGAAGCGAATTCTCGCCATTGAGTTTCCTTCTCAACGACTCCAAATCACAGTCTCACAGCTATCCACTACAGTCGGAAGAGTGAAGCTGGTCTCCTTAGAACAGTTGAATTGGCTTATAAATTAGGGGACTTCGCAGACTATTTTGGAAAAGCCGTTCGGATGTCCGTGGTTAATTCCAATCTGGGTACCATGATATTACTTTCAGTTATCTCTTTCGTTCCTCTCAAGCTACGCTAGATAGTACTTGTGAAAAATTTGGAACACTTTTTTATCGATGGAGTCTTGAATAGGAGCAGTTGAAGGCGCATTCAAACATAAATGGATCTTGGATTGAGGTTAATACTAGACTGAAACGAATTCGAGAATTTCGCACCGAAACAATTCGTTTTCTGATTACTGTGTCGCACATTTAAGTTAAACAGCGACAACAAATTAAAAGACATCTGCGCCTTCAAAATTAATCTCTTGTTTGAATTTTTCGGAGTTTTTGTTCAATTTTATCTTCTCAGTATCAACCAGCGTTACTGTGTTCGCCCAATGATGCACTGATGATTCCTTCCACACTAGCTCAGCAAGCTGCATATCTGTAGTCTGGATACAACGATACTTTACTTAGCGCGTTGCTCTTTCATACTCTGATCTTTGCCATGATTGATGTATACGTCGGACCAAGCTGATATCAATAAGCTAAAAAAACCGGTCGGTTATGATTATGAAAAATGCGAAGTTAAAGCTTCCTAGTTGGGATAGTACACCAAAATCATTTCGTGTCGTTCCAGGAGTACCATCAGAAGAGAACGAAAATTTCATTGGTTGGTTTTAACTGTTGACATTCATATTAAACCGTGAATATGTATGCCAGCGATAACCCCTACTTTGGCCGTTTCCTTGAGGATTAAACAAGCTCTTGAAGGTCTCTAATAGCCGTTGCCGAAACACCGCGGTCGATGGAGAGACTCTCGATCGATTGTTTCTTCGGCTATTTTTTCGTGCTTTAAAAGGGTCATAACAAGCATTCTACGACGATGTGAGAAGCTCAAGTAAGAGGCGTATGCTGACACGCCCATATTGATGAGATAGTTGGGATCGCTTCATCTTCTCCAGTTATTCAATTTGAGGTATTGTGTACTACAGCGGATACCGCAATGCACCATTTCCACTTTTTTTATTTTGTGGACAGTGAAGCCTGATATCGTCGAACTGAGAATTTTCAGTGCGGTGCTCTTCAGATACAGATAAACTATGCGCCACCACCTTAGCCATTTAAGAGAACAAATAAGATCACAAATCTTCGAAATTAAGATTTCCCCGGACCTTCGAAATGTTCCTTGATTTAAAAATTGGCAATTTAGACGGCGCCTATATACTTCTAAGGTACACGTGGTAAAGGAAGCTTCTGTCCTAATCTAACCAATCTGTACATCACTGCCAAGTGGTTCGGGCGGAACTGCTGCTCAACTGTCTACATGTGCAATCCTAGGTAGGACTGGCTGGGCCGGGAGATTGTTGGTAAGCTTCTCATTTCCATTGGTCTTCAGATGTCTCTTTGTCTTTGCTGGGTTATGTCGTATTGAGTGTCTGACTTTCGCTTAATTTTTGCCAGTTTGCACTTCGTTGTTAGTATCTGATTGATTTAGATACGAGTTCTTTTCCATATCACAGCATAGTCTTATGAATTTCAACCATGTTTACTGAAAACGCCTTAAAATTGAATTAATTTCACCGATAACCCTACTTTGTTCACATTTTACTTCAGCAGCTACCAGCTCGGTTCAGTCAGCTGTCAAGGCACCCGAAGAAACTAAGCAATTCGAGGCACGTCGGAGACGAGCTGCCGAACGCGAGGCTAGACGGTCAGTGGAGGCACAGTGCACTGCACTTTTCAGATTTCCTTGTCATAACTAATGCTTACTGTGATGAAGTTAAGGTGAAAGCTCTGTTGTGGAAGAACGTAATGATGGACGTGAACTTCTCACATTGTTAGACGCGTAAACAGGGTTGTCAACATTTTTTCTTCCGTTTTAACACTCCAAACATCTCCTCATCTGATGAGAAGGATGACGCGTTCTCACGAATGAACTAACTGGGGTTCGTCGCTGTTAGTGTTAGAACATTCACAGTGGATGTCACACACCAGTTAAATTCTTTGTTTTTAGGTCGTAGCGAAATCTCGTAGTCGCAACTTTTGAAGCTACGTTGATGAAGAGAAGCGTGGGTTTCTGTGCATTCATACTCATTTCCCGGTAGCATTAAAAAAACTGACCGCTCTAGAGTACCGTATTCCGTTTGTTCAATGCAAGTTCCCAACCGTGCAGGTCCACTTACTTAAACCCCTAGTTCTTCCCGATTAGCATGACCACTAAATTTAGGATCGCTGGTTTGGACAATCCGGATTCCCTTGAACTCGCCTCGCATCCATACCTCGTAGAATCAGTGGTCAAGCACATTGCACACTAAATTACTTGCACCCACAATATTCAGATTTTCTCTAACGGTATGTGTGCCTTTTCATCTCTCTGTCTATGCTTATTCGCTTCTTACTTTTGTGTGCACACAGTTATTACTGCTTGAATCATGCAAGCAGAACGCTACTCACTTACAAAACAGGTCAGCTTACCAGTGTAACTCACGTGACAGTTTGTAGGTTCTGTCAACACGTAGAAGGTAATCAAACTTCCAGGTTTCAAGCTGCTTGTTTGCCTTGAAGTTTCCAGGTACCCGGCAGTTTGTTTGCAACTAACCAAACCTCATGGGTACGGATTTGACCTGTGATTATCCTACGGTCATATGAACTCGGGACAACGTTTCTTTTTGCCCCAAGGATTGCGCTTTTCTCCCTAAGAAATTTGTTTTCATCCTTATACGCCTTATTGCAATATGAGCGGCTTCGATCCTCAGCGAAATAAATCGCCCATGTTGATCCATCTTCTATTCCACGGGGATAGTTTTATACTATACCTATTAATTGACCACGCTGACTGTCTAGCGTAGTGCCAATTTTTCCTGACCCAAAGCTGCCACCTGGATGTGGTGTTTGGGCTTGAGTGCCTCAATGATCCTGTAGGCTGCATTGGAAGGTGAAACCATTCCAGGAAGACCAAAGGGGGGCAGTCGGACCAAAAGCAGCGGGACCCTATACTACGAGTAATCGGGGGATGGGAACCCCCCCACACACACACTCGAAAAACGGTAACTGCTGCATCGCGGTTCAAGCAGTCGTGGAAGAGGCTTGTAGTTGACAGAAAATGATGATGTTCTGAGACGTTTCCTTTGTTATTTGTATTTAGCTGCTACAAAGAACCGTGCATTCAGTTGATATCACTGCATCAGAGAGCATTTTAATTAGGTCCCATCGACAGTCTCTTGGGCAACTATTCCGTACTGCTGCAGTTGCTTCGTCGTACTCAAACACGGGATTGTTGTCACTGGCGGCTGTAGAACTCGAAAAAACGATTCGACTGGCCGCCTGTTACTCTTCAGTTAGATGTACGGTCCGTGACAGAACTCTAGTTGGTGGATGTGAAACCTACAATGTCATGGAAGGTTAGTGAATGTCACTGCTGGTTCTGACGAACTCCCACTGATTCTGTTCCTATGTGGGAGTGAAATCCTCCGTCGTTGCGCAACTAGTTTCCGTCTGAGAAATAATGACGGTCCCCGCCAAGTGGATGGAGGGAATTTTAGGTACCATTTTCGAAACTGGTATTCATACTGAATATGGCCATCACATGGAAACTGGCTTTATCTCCGTGGTGATATAGTGGACCCGAAATTGAGCTAAGTTAACCGAAATATAAAGTATAGCCAGGTACAGACTGATCTAACTCGCGGTCTCATGAGTAAATGTAAACCCTAGTGTCCAATGTATAATGATGTATTCTCTTCGTATTTGTGCCGAAGTCTGGTTCCCACAATTTGACTGCCCAGAAAACCAGCATACCGCTGCACGTAACAAGCAGCAAACCGTCGATGAACCGGAATTGAGCTGAAAAATCGGTTCAGAATTGCCTCTGCTTTAATGCATGGATGGGGTCAGTGCAGGAATCCAAAGGATCAGTACTACTTGTGCCAACTTATGTTGCTTGTGATGTCAGGGATGTAAATCTTTGAGTCTGAAGGTTTTCTTTATTAAACTACATTACGGACTGAGTTGTTGCCAGGTAAGACGCCTACACTGCATAGTCTGATGGTTCCCTAAGGCTGTAGAAATGGAGAAAGCGACAAATGCCGCAATTATTTTCCTCGGACGGTTTTCTTATCAGGGAGCTAAAATCATTCTGCGCCTACTATACTACGGAGACATCGTTGATCAAATAACAAGATATTTTAGGTCTCCTGATCAGATGGATCATTTTTCATAACCATAGAGTAGCACCGCTGTCGCAGTCGTTCTGTGGGCACGTAGTTATTCGTTTCTGAAGCCTAAGATGACGCTACTTAGCAGATATTATTCATACCTTGATTACTTGATTAATATGGTTGGTGTTGTAAGCCTCCGGCTTTGATCGCTGTTGAAGAAGTTGTGGAGTTGACAGTTTTCAACCCTGTGACTCGTCATGCTCAACTTCTTCATAACAGGAGTTTTCCTCTATTGTTTCATCGCGTTATTGAAGGTTTAGTGGACGTTGAGCGTATGGAAGTCGCTGACTCCTCTTGTCGCGGATGGCCACTGGTAACGTCGATACTGTTTCTAGGGCGTTGCACTAGGCCGTAAAGCTCCAAGCTTTTACCAACGTTTTCGGGAGCTTTTTCAGGAAGCAGCTATGTGGTATATGTGGATGGAAGTTACAGATACCTCGTGGGATAGTAGTGCACCTTTTCTTTTTCGCTTCAGTATCCGACGGCAGCGTGCTCGTGATCTAGCCGCCCAGGCGTCTAACCAACATCCAGCAGTTTCACATGTCGATGGCACAAGTACGGATGACGAGGAGCCACAGGCTGTGATTGCTAAAAGAAAAGCGGATATAGGTAAGTTTGTTTCGGCCCCAAACCCACTTCAACCGTCACCGCATCCTCGATTCGCAGTTATGTCGTTAAATCTCTTCTCTCATACACGTTCTTTTCTCTTTGGTGGTTCCAATTGCCCGACACTAGTTCGCGGTTGTCACTTCTGTTTGCTCTAGTCCCCTCCCTCCTCTGGACATCATAAACTGATCCCTTATTCAGCTATAATGTTTGTTCGGTATATAGCCGCAATTCAGCCAGCGACGAGTACCCTAGCTGAGATGTTATCAGATTTAGAAATCAATGTCGTATTCGAATTTGGGATCCCTTCGGTCACTTATTGTGTTCCTGAAGAGTGTATGTGGCGTTTCAGTCGATCCGGTCGAAATACATTGTTTAATGTGCGGTGCTTCTAGATTTTTTAGCATGGAGGGACGAAATTATTGTTGAAACTTGCCAAGTCTCCTCTCATCATCAAACAGAATATAGTCTCTCTCTAAGTCCGATAAAATGGACTGGAGAGCAGTGTAGCCCGAGGAAAAGTATACAAGGGTGGCTAATACTATGGGACTGACAGATATTCCCATTTCGGAGAACTAACAGAAATTATTCTAATATTAAAAAACGGCTTCGACGTAATATATATATATATATATATATATATATAAAGGTACAGTTGTTGCACTTCTTACTGGGGGAAGCATTCAGCCAGGTATGGCAGATGATATACGCTAGATTCTGGTAAGCAAAACAATTCGCAATGCTCCGATGTGCTATTTCGGGACAGTTTCTCAAACCCCGATTTCTTAAAGGCGGTGACAAATCGCCTACGCCCCCTAACAACGCACTGATGATGTCACCTCGACTGGTGATGAAACGTTTGCGGTCTTATTGCCCGGTTCAGCGAACAAACCAACTACCACCGCCTAATCTATTCAGGTTGCCGGCAGTAACAAACTAAGTGTAATCAAGAGAGGTAGTAAGTTCGGCAGGAGGTTAATTCTTGAAGGTTTTCGAATGGGAAGCTTTGGTTTCGGCGAACAAATATGTATGGCTCAGAATTATGTGCTGCTATTTGTCTGTCGACCTCGGTTACACCGAAGGATCAGGACATTAGTTAACACTGAAAGGCTTTAAAACACCTTAGGCTGTGTTGTACAACAGCGTGTCTGGTTCACGCGTTTCTCGTACACTTGCTCAAAGTGACATCTTCGCTTTCATCCGCTAGCAAGCTTTTTTCGGCAATGCCGCGAACAAATAAAGACTTTCCAACCTTCTACTCATTTTTTTTCATGTAACCCAGCTCGTTTGTCAGCAGCTTACAGAATAGCATTAAGATCATAGTAAGTGAAGTCCACTCAAGGGCCGAACCGTCCGGGTATATCTGTCCATAGTTCGTCTAGTGTCCACATTTTCATATTCATGAGAAACATGTGCGTTAACGGTGTTTGGTGGTGACCTGTATAGAAAGTTACACGTATACTGTGGTTTTCGGTGGGCGTGGGAACCTGATTTCGATTCACTCGTTTAGAGCTGCTTTCGGTGACCAGAGATCACGAAAGGCATCTTAACTAGTCAGGGTTTTTCTTTTGAGTTTTTTTTTATCAGAATGGTTATCTTCCTCCTGTTACTGATTAGCACCGCACTGCGTGAGATACGTTCAATTCAACAAGGGCTAAATGGTGGGCTTGGATTCTATACGAGTGTTAGCTATGAAGCGGAGCAAACTATGGTATAGCTCGCTTAAAAGCTGCTAATAGACAAAACACCAATGCGTGAACAGGCATTTGAAGATTCCGGTGTGAAGCGCGTAATTTCTGGTGGGTATGAGCAGTTGAATCCAGTAAATATGTGGTTAGTGCGCTGTTTTGGGCATTTAAACAAGAGCCTGAAATTGTCAAGCGAGTTTGCTTGCCCTTATCCTCCTCCTCAGCGGTATTATTTCAGTTTGAGTGTTCTCAACGATTCTTACCGATTGAACCTTGTTAATTCCAAATGATGTTTTTTCTCACCCCACAGACGCGCTGCTAGTTGATGCCACTGCCCTGTTTGAAGATGTTGTTGAGGAGTTCTGTGATCTTCCACTCATTTTAAGCCGATTCTCTCGTTGGCATAGTGATTTCCCTGAATCCTATGCCGAAGCTTATGCCTCACTATGCTTACCTCAGTTGTTTGCCCCAATCATCCGTCTACAACTAATCGGCTGGAATCCAATCGCAGTAAGTTAGAAAGTCGTTCGCCGATATTAATGTGCTAAATAATCTTGCAAATAAATGATAATGATAAATAATCTTTATGATACGCTCACACAGCAGCATGCGAGTGAATGCAACATCCTGTTAGGAATTTTAACTACTTCTGTGTGCAGCAGTATAGTCTATCGCTATGAGAACTCACTAAACTCGCTGTATTTTTCTAAACCTGACACATTAGGCCACCGATGGGACTTTTCTCAACTGGCTCCCATTACATGTTTATCTGACGGTATTAAGATGGAATGTTATTCAGATACCGGATTATCGATTCTCCGGCAGCCGTTGGAAGATCCGCCGTCCAGGAGACTTCGGCATCTCATGTAAATCAGAAAACCACCATACTGACGGATTCTCCTTTATTTTCAACAGAACGACGGCATCCATCTTCTATCATACGCTGCTGTCTAGTGACCGGGAAAAAGCGTATATTGGTTGACCGCTCTGCGATATACCACGATGCTAGTCTGAAATCGACCCAGAATTTAGGCAGTGTAGGTAGTAATGTTCATTTTTGTGCCATCTTCATCGTCCAGTCGTTTTCCTTTTGTATCTTCGCAGCAAACCTGTGATCCGTTGGAAGCAATGTCCTGGTTCAGTGATCTGTTGGACTTTAGCTGTCTTCCTATAGACGGAGTGAAGTTGGAACCAAGGGCAAAAGAGGGTGGAGATGCGTGCACATTAAATCCTGACCTAAAGGTCTTGCCTCTCACCGTAGAAAAAGTATTATTAGAACGGCTGAATGGTAAGTGTTTTTAATTCAGGCGTAGCATTCTCTCATTAACTCTGCCTGTTGAATCCGGAAGCTGCTGGGGGTGTTTTAGGTGGAATTTTAATCCTGCTTCTGTCCGTTATTCTGGTCGCGTAAATGGATGGGATGGAATGGGATCACCGAGCCCATTCAACTTTTCACACCTTACATATAGTAGTTGGTGTGTTAACCTAGCTGACGTTTTGGCCCAAGTTGGTAGTTGTTACAATTCCGGGGAGCTAGTCACACAACTGCCACTACGAATGATCCGGATAAACAGCGAATATCCCTTTGGTGTGGGTGACTTCTATTATGTCCACCTTTTTTCACGGAAATCTCATAGCACTCATAGTAGGTTAGCCCATAATCGTCTGATCTGCACGAATTTCTTGCTGCAAGTGTGTTTGTTTCAGCTTCACAACTTTGGATTGTTGGTGTATATGGCGTTCGTTTCAAACATTTGGATAGCGAACTGGAGTAGTCAGCTACCGAACACTGAACACTGGGCCATTGTAAACTTTACTACCACGCTGGTAGTGGGCGGAATAATCTAAATGGCCACTAGACCGCTCCGGAGATAACATGAGGACCGTTTGTGATGTTACCACATTTCTTCAGTTGGGCGGTTGAAATGGAATAGTTTTACTGACGTATAGATATCCACACTCGGCTACCCTGATCCTGCTCGTCATCTCGCAGCTGTAACCTAAACCTCTGTTTCCCTGATTTCTACCGTAGAATTGGTGGAGGCAGCTTGGGATCCGCTATCTCGACGTGAATCGGAACGCCTTGTAGCCCTCATGAAAGACTTAACTACAAACTACCCCAGTGTGCGCGTAGGAAGTCGACCAACAGAACAGCTGTTTACCACAATCGTGAAGCGCTTGGAAGTAACTGTCCAGGAAGACATATTCATTCCGTTGTATTCAAGACAGTAAGTTGCCTACTAGCTGTTCATGAGTAGCGTGATGTGCACAAAAAAATCAAACACTTTTCAGTCCTTAGGCTAACAAACCCTTGCATTTCATTTATAATTATTTAAGAAGAATTATACAACCCATATGGTCACAAACTTGAGTAGGCTAGCACAGACCTGACTTCGGCCACCTGTGGTCCCTCGGCAAGTTAGACTGTATCCAAGTCTAATCACAGAAGGACCACCATTTAGTAGTATACCCAAGTTTAATTCAGATATGTTCGGTATGTTTTTGGGGAGCTTCTGAATATCGCGTCACACCAGGCCTAATTTAAGCCTGCAGAGGTAGCACCTCCGACGCTTCCCTCTCGTACTCCACGGATAATCGTTGGAGATTTATGAAGTACCCTGTCCAGGATCGGAAAAATGCTCTGCATGAGGATTTTGCCCTGGCGAGTAAATCTTTTATGCTAGAAATCATTTCAAACTCTGTAAAACGATAGGTTCAGGTCACCCAGGCTTTCCATGATCCCACTTCTTTTGAATTCACTTCCTTTCGGTCGTGCATTGTTACGTTCCGAGTAATAGTCGAACATTGTCAGCATCACCCCAACCTGTTTACCGAGTATTTTTAGGCGTGTACGACTAAGCCCCGTGTGAAGTGCAACAACAAGTGGAAAGTACCGAACAGGTGCCCCTCAATAAGGGTGAAAGAGTTGTACGGTTCTTCCTTTTCGGAGTAGATTGTTTTCATTTGCTGGATGAACTCTCCACGTAAATTTCAAAATCGCACCGCGACAAACTTGCAGGTACTCAGTGGATTTAGTGTCATGTGCAAAAGTCGGTTGGTTTATTCACTAGACTGTTGAACCAGGCCACAGGATTTTCGCTCGCACTCTTAATCTAGAGGCCACTGTTTCATCAGTGCAGTCGAGCTAAAACTGAAGACATTGGGAATCGTTAAATATGTGACCAAACGGCCTCGAGTAGTAAATGCCTGAGTGTGCAAAATAGGTATCCAACTCAGCGAATTCTTGCGTTAAACTGGGAGGTGGATAGCAGCTGCTGTTAATTTGGGCGGCCAGTTGCCTAGTTCATGGTGGCTTGGTTTCTGACCACGCTCGTAGATAGGTCTTCAAACAAGAGAGAGAACTCTGCAAACGCGTGCTGTGTAATATTCTAATGGTACTTTTATACCTTTCATTCCCTAGACAATGATGCCTTGTTTGTAACAGGTTCGGGGCACCCGTATGAACTCGAAAATTTGTCTTCTACTTTGACAGTCTATGCGTTGCTCACAATTTGCCAAAATATCAACACTATATCTGTGCAAAAAATGTAAAAATGTGATCTGCTTGGTGCTGCCCAACCTCTTGATCATTTCTGTGTATTTTTCCATGTTATTCATGTTTAGTCTAATGAAAACTTCCATCCACAGCGTTATGCAGTCCAGACAAAGTGCTGCGTTTCAGTTCTTCGAGCGCCAGCTTCGAATTGGAATCAAGGTAATTACTGTTCCTATGAGGATGCCGCCTATAAAACTACTTTGTTTATCCACTGCTGTTGGCACGTTTGTTATTTCATCATTTATTTGACACAAATTTCATCATGTTCCATAAATCCCTATTGGGAAGCTTATATCAGGTTTTTTATTTTCCACTATTGAAGTTTTTTTGCAGTTCAGTTCGTTAGGATGATTTTTTTATTTGTTCGCCGAACTAGACAGTCCAACTGCAAGCGCTTCACTACGGGTCAAAGGGACATTAATGTCCATTTCTACGCACATTACACATTAATTGTGTTATCCTGACCGACACTGAACCCTTCGTCCAATGCAGCAAAGAAACCAACTTTTTCTCGGCTTAAAAATACCTCCATGTCTTGAAGAGCTGAAACATGAGGTGGTATTTGAGCAGCACACCTAGTCGAAGGATATCGTAAAGGAGAGATTCAGCTGAGATTCACTTGAGTCGTCCGCGATCAATTTAATTCCGCCCAACCAAATTTGGTTTCAGCGGCGGTGTGCTAGTACATTGTAACTGGCAGAATGAGTATACCAGAGTTTACCTTTCGATTGGGTCAGTATTTCCTTTGCCACCCTCATGTACTACTATATATTTCGTTTCATTAGGAAAAGCGTATTTGTGCGGACTGGGTTGATGAACGAATGGTTCAATGAGTATAGTCTCCGTATTTTTCGTGCTACTTTCAGATGCTCAAGAACATCCTTTTGTGGCATGGATTGATCAGTACCGAAGCACTTCAGCATGTCAGCCTGACATGCTTGGTTAACCGTTATCTTCTTGTTGGTCTTGCCAGCCTGATGTGTGCTGCAACACTTACCACCACGTCTACCGAGGAAAAGAATTCAGCTCCCTTTTCCCTGTTAAATAATTTCAACCCTCTCCAAACGGCTACGTTGACTTTCCAAGATTGCGTGGATCGTTTAACTGAGATTGTTGAGGCACTTCCAAAGGAGTGGATAAGTGCATCAAGCCTTCCACAGCACACTGATAACAAAATCGATATTCATACACCGGAAGAAACTCAGAGAAACGATAAGTCCTCTCCGGGTGCGCTTTCGCAGCTGAGACGTTTTGTCTCCCAGCTGATGGAACACTCCTTCCTGTCACCTGATGGCAGTCGACAAGGAACCTCCCAGCTTGAACGGTAAGTTGCACTTGTTTTAGGGCCGTAAAACGTTGTACCCTAGTGCGTTTAGGCAGGCCCAAGCTCATCATTATTGATAGCGTAAAATCAGTGTTCAACATTGATATTCCGCTGCCATATAACCAAACCCAGTCTATTGATGTCGGATCCGGTATCGGTCTAATTTCCGAACACCAGCCCATTCATCACGAGCCGCACCCTCGAATGTAAGTAGATACGTCACTTATCTCTCTCAACCGGCCTTCACTCACTTTTAGCCCAGTAATTATTCTCCGACCATTGACAAAATTTTATAACTTGGTTGGCTTCTGATAGTTCGATGTGGTTCCATTCGAACGTATTTGAGTAACACCACCCGGGAAACCTCCAACATCTCACGGCTTCCCGCTACAGGATCCTCTGAATGACCTCTTTACAACATATAAGTTTTCTCCTGACATTCGTTTCACTTGATGTATGTGCTGCACTCCTCTGCAGCAAGCCTTCGAGAAAAAGGGGATCAAATGCGGTATTATCAAGGAGTTGATCATAATATGAAGAGACATTTACCGTGACTTGGGATTGCTACACAGTAGTTTTAAACCGGGTTCTTCACTCAGACGGCTGATAGCTGATGGGAGTATTACTGTTGTGTGGGGATCACGGACGGAATTCCTCTAGTTATTAGCCCAGTCTTCCAACCTTCTATCCAAGTCAACACGACGTATGAAATACGAGCAAATACCGTATTTTTTACACCAATCCAGATTCACATCCCTGTCAAACGGGGACACATTTAGACCTTCGAACTTTGTTGCTATATGCTCTCTTCAGCTGTGCATTATTTCGTCAAGTTGTGATCTAGCGGATCCAGTTTATCTCCTGGAACTACCATTTTGATTGCCCGTTTGCCTATGCGTACCATCTTTATTTCCATCAAATCGCTTTTGCGAATCTTAATTTTGCTTTCTTTGCAGGGAATGGATCAATACCCTTACACATATCCGGGACTCTCTGGTCTAGTTCTGATCTGACACTGCTGTCTGCATTATTTTCCGGTTTCGCTGTGTGTGTAATACAACTGTAAATTTTCCCTATTACGCAAAGCTTCTAACATAATGCGTGGGAATCTTTTATCGGTGATCTGCGTCCCAACATCCGTTACTGTTGCTTCGGTTTGCAGTTTAATTTTTCCCCTGGGAGTTTCGCTCAAAAATTATGGTTTCTGACTCCCCTTAGTTGGTAATCGACTTGGCAACCCCTTGTGGGGTCATCCCACGATTCACTGTCGTCAACAAGGCAGCGACCATGAATTTGCGTTATCAGCAGCTAGTTCACGCATGTTTGAATTCGCCGGATTGCGAACCAACCAGAATGCTGAAAGCCCATTACTACCACAATTGGAATTCTACTGTTTTTTCACTTCATCTGATAATGAGGAATTCACTTTGCCGCATCTTAAACTAAGGAGGAAACAGTTTTATCTCTTCTACCGAACATTTATCGGCTTACTTAAAACCCACAAGAACCCTTAACGAGGTACTTGGTCCCTCGACGTGTATCTCTTCTGCGGGTCAGTCTTGTTTTTCGGCGTTCCCATTTTTCTGTTTCCTGTTGGGTGGTGATCAGATGACACTTAATCTGCTCTCGTGATTTACAACAAGGTTGCAAACGTTTCTCCATCACAGGGGACGTCATCAGTGTACGGTCGGGTAATGGTGCCTCCCTGAATGGTGAGAAGCCAAGTATCAAGCGATTAGATCGACTGTCACTCGTTTACAAGTGACTTACTACCAGTATTTGACATGTACTCTGTGTGTCTATTGACATCATTATCCTGTCAGTCAAAATTCGATAGAGATTGGCATTAAATCTACCACCAGTCCCCTGAATTCCGTAACGTTTTAGGCGATCATATCAACCATCTGGAAATAGGTATCATATTCAAAATTACTCTCAAAATATTCTTTTCAGAGAACGAGTTCGGTTTACATTGGCAACTGATTTTACTTTATGTGCCCCCGAATTTTCGACATTAGGCGGAGCATTCTTAGCTAGAAGTACGCCGGAAACATAGCTGTGTTGTTAAATCATATCGAATTAAATCATATGTTAAATGGCCTTTGACTGAGAGGTTTCTGCTAGCGCAGCAGAACGCATGTTTCGAGGAGATCTCTTGGACAGCAGGTATAGCAGTATTGTGCATTGCTATGCTTCTGTTTGGTTGCTTGGTTGGCCCACTGTCAGGCTGGATATCCGCTTATAATATACTGCCCGGATTTTGCGCATTTTACTCGCAGCCTGAATGAATCATTCTAGCGATATTTGGCTATTTGTCAACAGTCAGCTGCTGGTCTAATATCTCCGCGGGAGTAAGACAGGTGATGCGAATACTTGGGTGGTCTAGTTGCGTTTGATAGATGTGATCACATATACACGTACCAATCTCCTTGACTACGTAGTGCAACAAACATTTAGTGCATAGAGCAATCTGTGGAACTGGGATATTCCCGATGTGGTTGTATTCCTTGTAAACAGTGTGAATCCCAATTTAGCACGGACTAAATCTAATGGTGTAATAAATGCTCCGAGAAATCGGGGTTCTGTACAGTGCAAAGCTATTTTCCGTAAATCATTGATGAACACAAGTACCCTATAAGGGTGCACCCAACGCTGTAGATAACAATCCAAAAATAGATGTGTTGTCATCCAGGATCTCTAAACAACCTGGCTCATTGAACAATGCTTTTCGTGGGTGTCCCGATGCGCTATGGAGTTCGATGCGCCTGGTATTGGATTTTCTTATCCAAATGCCACTAAGAGTATATCTTGCTACACCCTGAATTGCAAAATTCAACTATTGTATCGTGACTGTGGGGTATCTGTCTCACTACCCTCATTGGCAAATGGATACATAAGTCGTTTTGTGAACTTAATCGTCCCTTTGAAGTATAGGTAAGTGTTAAAACCTGTTCGTCCTGCAGCTTGGATTTATCCCGCTAGTCCAAATACATGCGTCTCTTTCTCTCAGAAAAACGAAGGGGTGTTGTTTGCGAATTCCAGACTGACAGGTTTAAGTACTGTCGTTGCAGACGTTTTACCGACCTGTTCATTCTAATTTCATTTATGGTAGTTAATCAAAAACGGAGAAGTGGATTTCCGTGAAATTTTGTGATCACCTTCCCGTACACTCTGACTTTCACGAAGGTATGGTTCACTAGGGCTAGGAAGACGCGTTAGCGCGTGTAAGAGACTCGTCAAGCCAGTTGAGTTGAAGTCCGGGAAAACCAAGTTTTCTATCGGCATGTCGTTGCTTTTCCAAGAGGCTATTGAAGTTGTTCTCTGCGTTATTGCTCCCAAATTTCGGCCATTCCTTAAGGAGCGCCCCGGCGCCAATACAGTTGATACCTCTTCGGTTATATTGAAATCCGTATAACTGTCGCGCTAAGGAAGTATGAAATAAAGAAATCGCTCACCTGTTGCGCTTTCGGTGCTCAGCCGCCATACCCCCTCCCCCCGAAGGAAGCACGAAGGCTGAGATACTGCCAGGTTCCTCAAACATACAGGAGAAGTCAAGGTGCAGAGGTCGGGTTTGAACCACGGACCTTCCAGAGGGTAAATTCGCGCTCTGAACACTGAGCTGTCTCGCTTACGGGCATATACGGACTGATCAGTCAAGATAGTAATTTCTGTTATGTGGTCCCCCTTCCGCAACAGAAGCATTGTGATTTCGCTCATCCTGTATTACATTTTAATTCTCACCGGGTCAAGTAGTCTGTCGCTGAAGAGATGTGTTGCTTGCGCTTAAATGTAGTGTGTATTTATTTGAATCATGTGGTATCATTTTAAGGGCTTGAGTGGTCATTCATTTGTGTAATATCACTTGAAGTAGATACTTCATTATGGTTTTTCGGTCAGTTGGTTTTTCTTCCCCTGTCTGATGTTCATTCAGATCACTTGTTTGATAGTCCTTACTTTTGTCAGTCATTTGATCAGCGCAATTCTTGCTGTGCTAGAGCTATTGTACTTGTCCATTGTCAGGTATAGTCCGAGAGCAGGACCACTGTTGACTTTCACATTAGTTGTGTGTTGTAATAGTGCACATTCTAAATCCCCAACTCGATCTAACTAACCTAAGCGGTTGATATTTCACAGATCAAAACGGCCGGATTGTTTTCATTTACAAGATGTGAACTACTCCATAAACTATTTGGAGCTAAAGTCTGCGACTGACCGCGAGGTGTTTGAGAAGAATTTGGTGAATGCACACTCAGCGTCTTTATCTAAGGCCATACATTAGTGGGGCTGACTTTTTACCCACACAGCTAAACGGGTGTCACGTGAATGAAGTCTTCAAAACTCTGGTACGTTTTTTTGCGTTGTTTGGGACAGCTAGGCGATTCTCTGTGTAATCCAGATCCCGAAATGCCACCATCTCATGTTTTTTCCATTCGCGCAACCCGCGAGACGATTGCCTCGTATAGAATGTTAAGAGGTCAAATCGGCTAGTTAGTAGCAGCAATACCTACCATATTTAGCGAATAGATTTATGCTAATCACCGTAGCTAGAGAGAAAATGATTTTCAAAAATATGCATCACCGAATCCCTGGACAGTTTGGGAGGCGTGCGTTTACATTGCTCACACGGTAGTCCTTGCTTTCGGTCAAATTTTCCCGATGGAATGTCTGTCAGCTGAGTGACACCTCGTCCAGATCAAAGCACGTTCACCCTGTGTTCCTTAAGTTTGAAGGACTTCTCGGATTGCATTTCATTACTGCTTGCACTCTTGTCTTTCCGTAGTTTAACCACCTTTTTTCAACCGATGGTTATTATTTCGCGTTACGGTTGATTAATCGGAAGCGCCTTGGCCTATTTTATCCTTCTCAAACATTTTGACGAATACTGTAGTTCTTGTATACTTTCATTTCATACGCTCTAGGTCTTCAGAAAGCCACTTAGACCTCATGTGCATGCTCAGCTTTCAACCGTTTTCTACCGAATCATAGCCCTTAGTGTTTTCATCTCCTATCGTCTGGTTAGTTTGATTAGAGTTTGGAGATAGCATCATCCACGTTCGGGACTTAGACTCAAGGCCGATCACATGCAATCGTTGAAGAAAGGAAGTAATTTAATGTGTTATTCACGTAAGAGACACCGTCGCTCTCAAAACCATCTCAAGTCTATGCAAATAAGTGTAGAAAAAGCATGGTTCTTGTCAAAATGTTTTTGGGATAGTTTTCGTTACCTAGATCGTAAATATTGCACTGCGAAAAAGTGCTTACCGAAGAATGTGACAGGTGGTGATTCGGGAATGTTTTACTAGACAAATTTTAGCCGGATTTGTGTAGGTCATTCATATTCAAACGTAGGCTCCCTTGTACCGGCTTTTCCGCAAGGACCTTATCGAGTGTGGATTTCTCATGTCTATCAGGAGCAGCGAGGATATTTCATCCCGCATAATTTATGACTGGTGAATTTAGCCTTCGATTCCTGTTTATCCAAGCATTGTTTCCACATGAATTGTCTTGATTTCCTAGTGCATTTTGTCACGCAACCATAGTTACCCTGTAAGTGGGGGGAGACAGTTTACTCTATCCTTTAGGCGTTTTATGTCCACTGTCTCTAACTTGCCTATCTTTTATGTTTAATATGTCATTATATTGTCTCTTATTGATGTGACAATCAAGTGTGCGATGAATACGCTGGAGTACTTACTGCAACTGTTTCCACTAGGCAATAGAGTTTATCCTTTAATTGTGTGGCTTGTCAATCATTATCAGTCTATCACGGGTGGTGGTCACTAAGTTGTGGTGTTGTCATTCAAGAACAACGGTTACAATCATAATAATTGCGATTTTGCAGGATAACGCTGTGGCTGAGTCGGAGTCCAGCTTGCTCGGAATGCATCTGAATTCAGTAAACAGGGCTACGCTTTCTGCAATCAAGTTTTCCTGTCTTCAGGTTAACCGCTTTGTTAAAATAGTGCACTAAACAAATCCAGGAGCCGGCAGCTCGAATAGAATTTTGTTTTCATGTGGTTCTTCTTGAAAGTTCTCATCTTGTTTTGAAGTACCCAATACTCGTTTGTTGGATGTTCCTAGGGACATATGAATTTA